TGGGTTCTCACACCTACTGTGCACTACAAACCCGTTATCTCTGTGATATCGTTTCTGACACATTATGCTGCAAACGCACTTTTGTCTCAAATATGATGACCGGACAGACCAATCCTTTGGACCACTGCGACCGATCCACCGGTGACCGAACACCTCCCTAAGATAATGCCACACCGTTTGTTCTTAATGGGCAGATTCGCCATACTGAATCTCTAAAGGCTGAAACGAAGTGCCGAAGTAGCCAACGATGCTCAGTGGTGAAAACATCTGTCTTGTAGCTCCTAAATAATTTCTCAGCGACAGTTCCCTTACCACTGGAGAACCATGACAGTAAGAGGAATGGCGGTAATCATAATTGTTACTTGGCAAACACGAGGTTAACGGTGTGTGGGCAACGGAAATACGTGACTCTGGCTTGCTAGAAGCTCATAACGCAGACTACTGAGCTTCAACCGTTTGGTCCATCACCGTCAACCTTACAGTAAACATCAACAGCCACGCTTGCACTCTGTCGGGCAATCGAGCGATCGGGCAATTCGCACGTACCCGTCTTGTTCTATTTTCTCCCGGCGTTCATTCTACTCCGACGAACTATACCGACCACTACCTATGGCCACAATGTGCTAATGAAATCAATCGTTATGCGTTACACATATGTTTACATGAAGGATGTTTCAAAAGCAAAAAAATAAAGTACTCCATTTTCAAAAGGACCACCATGGGTTTGCTTGCACAGCAGTACTTGCCGGATGCTATTGGCTAGCGCTATCTGCAAAGTGTCCATCAATATACCGCGATATTCGTTGACGATGATCAGTTGTAGTTTCTTCTGCCTGCAACTGCAAATGACACAGGTCTGCGAGATTTCTTTGTAGGAGGATGCTAACAAGTGTGAAGTGTCGGTTCTGTTAATAAATCAACTTATCCGTCATAAAAGTAAACGAAGTAGATTTTCAAAATATCCGCGTCGTATTGCTTGCACTGCAGTACTCACCGGATGCTATTGTATAGCACTTGCTGCAAACTGTCCACCGATATACCGCAATATTCGTTGTACACTCGGCATTTCATAGGAAGAAATCCCACGATTCATTGGTAAAAACAAAGTAACTTTCCTGCATGTACACAAATGCACAAGTTCTCTTGCATAAGCTTGCCCAACTGCGAGTACGTCAAGTGTCACATGCCTGGGACCTCTTACTTCTTACGGAAACCTGGTTGCACTCAAAGACTACTAATGCCGAGGACGAGATAAGTGGTATGTCCCTTCTCCGAAACGACCAACGTAGCAAAGCCGGGGGTGCGGGTAATGTTATACAACCGCAACGGCGTACAGTGCGAACCGGTGGCGGATTCGACAACGTTGATTATAGACTCACTCTGGTGCAGTCTGCGACTGAGACGCAACGACATTAGCCTTTTGGCGGTTGTTTATCGTTCCCCAATGTCCACTCTAGAGATGGACTCCCGCCTGGTATTATCCTTTGGAAGTGTCCTACGAGGACGATGCAGTCATTTTCCCATCTCAGGGCGACTTTAATATTCAGGATTTGAAAGTTTCGGCTTCCCCCAACGAGCAGTTTAGTGCCGACCTGCAAGAGTATATTGCAAGCATTCCGCTCTTCAGCCATGTCAGTTTCCCCACCAGATTCAGAGCGGGAAATAAACCATCGGTGCTTAAGTTAGTGCTCACGAACGAAGAGTTCATGGTTGAGAAACTATGAGTATCCACAAGAACATACTAACTTGTTTCGAACAATCACCCACCACGACATACTGACAGAACTTGCGGAAGATGCCAGCTGGGAGTTTGCGGACGACTGTTTCATTGACAGTGCTTTGTTGGATTTTACTGGCAAGTGCAGTGATCTGATTAAATTTGCATCGGTCAACAAGCAACTTCGTTTTGCAGGGGCAATATTCGGAGTAGAACTCGGAAACACATGACAGTAAGAGACGCCGCGAGGCATGTGTATAGAACGAACCTTAGCTCTGACAACTGGAGTAACTATGTGGTGCACGCAATCAATGTACCCCACTTGGGCCCGAGGACTAATTAGTACATTGGCAGAGTCTGGCGGCAAATTTTAGTGTAAACGAAAAGCTTCTGCACAGACATATGAACAGCCTCCGGAATGTGAAACGTTGTGTTCCCCCCAATAATATCGGCGGATGACTGCGCTCAAAACGCCGAGAATGCAGTCAACGTTCTACAGCTACATCACGCCCCAAGTTTCTGACGTGCAGTCAGCATTTGTAACATACCTGTCCCATTCTCCCGGATGCCAGTATTTAGACACGTCACGTTTAGTTCAGCGACCATTTTGAAGAAGTTGCTATCGTCGCGCACCCATGGGTCCTGCGGGGTTGAGAACATTCCCCCGAAAACGCTGCACGTGTTAGCTACGATGATAACTGAAGCATTAACGAGATATTTCCAAAAATGCCTAGACGAAGAACGGGTCCCTAACATATGGAAGTGGGGAATCGATACCCCAGTTTTCGATAGTGGTAGGCCTTCAAAGCCAGCCAATTATCGCCCATTGATTCTCCTTCCGGTGCTGTCTAACGTGATGCAATCGATTGTAGCTGAGGCTGTAATGGGCTACGTTGAAATGTCATAGTTTTGAAAGGTCATAGCATCGCACCAACACGGATTAAGTTAGCATCGGTCATGTACTACCAACCTACTGCTTTCCCATGGCAGCTGGACAGAGATAGCCAACAGTGGGACTGGTATTGGTGTCATCTACCTAGAGATTTCCGAAGCATTCGACTGTATAGATCATCGCATCCTTCTCGAAAAACTGCAAGCATGTAGAGTTAGAAATCCTGTCCTTGGATGGATCGGAAACTTGCTCTTTCAGCGACGCCTTCAGGTTCGAGTTCGCAGTTAATTTTCTGATCCATTTGGTGTGGACTGCGGTGTTCCACAAGGGTCGGTGTTAAGGCTGCGGTTATTCTTGTTATTCATTAATGACCTTGCGAGTGTCATCAAGTCAAATTTTCTACTTTTCTAATCCCATCAAGGTATGGCGGACAATCGACTGTCAGGAAGATCACGATCCGTTGCCACGAGACTTAGACTGTTCTTTTGAATAGTCAAAGTTAAATCTACTTCCGGTGAACGTGGACAAGCGCAAAACCGTGCATGTCCGTCACAAGCGTACGTACGCATATAAGCTTGGAGCCGGCGTGCTGAAAACCGCCTCACAACAGCGGGTTCTTGAGATGATCATCCAAGACGACCTCGGCTGCTCGGTCAAGTCCATGAAGGCGTCCAAAACTGCAAACCAACATATTGCTCTGTTACGGAGGACGTTCAGGAGATTCAATCCCTCCAGCATCCCTCAAATGATCAATGGGTATGTCAGGCGCCATGTAGAGTAGGCAACTCCGGTTAAAACTCCACCTGGTTGCTTTGGAAACCGAATGGCGACAGGCAAGGAAATATGTGAAGGGGGTTATCCTACCTGCAATACCATAGGCGACTGAAAGCCCTAGATATTTTTGCATGACGACAAGACGTAGACATCCGTTGTGCTCACCAACCCCACGATTTCGGGTTAGACAGATATAACTATGTGTTACTGTGGATAATATGGTGATTTCACAAATGTGTTTTTCCATGTTGCCTAAATAGTGTTATTTCCACAAACCATGCCAGTGAACTTGTCCAGGATTGGCTTGTTTATCAATATTATAAAATTGTTCCATTGTTTCCGTAACTTATTCACGCTGATGATACGATGAGGCCTATCCGCAGGAATTAGCCAAGTTACCATGCTATAACCGTTATGTGGATGACATATTCGCTTTTGCTAGTCGGAACAGCAAATTGTCCAGTTGTATTTGTAACTGATATATGCACACGCCAGCATGCGGGTCACCTACCAATTGGAACCTAAGAACTGGCTGTTATTCTTAGACATCGTTATCAGTCGCAGAGAGGGCGAACTCATTCAGAGGTCTGATTGCAGAAAAGCAACATGTTCGGGCCAATGCATGCACTTCAACGGCTTCACTGCAGTGCGATACAAGCGGACGCTTGTGGAAAGTTTAGTTAGCCGCAATAGACGAGTTTGCTCAACTGATTGTCTGGTCGACGAGCTAGAGTGAATTACAACAACGCTCATCGCGAATGGTTATCCCCGTTGATTTGCAGAGAAACACAGTCAAAAGCGAGGCTCGGAAGACTTGTTGCATACGGCAGCCCAGAAAAATGCTAATTCGTGTTACCATTCAAGTGTGACTTTACTGTTTCGGAAACCAAGAAACGTTTAATCTCTGCTACACAGAACTGTTACTGTGCTGCTCATGCTCTGGTCATCAATAACACTCGTAATTTGCCGGTGCCTTCAACCAAGGAATCTCAACCGATCGCGGCCAACTCACACTGCATATACCAATCCGTGTGCGACTGCTGAGCCAGTTGGATAGGCAGAACTAATCGGACTTTGACTTCCCGAATAAAGGAGCACGTGCGAATGTGGGTCCAACGTGAAATTGACCAGCATCCCTGTCACACTGAAGTTCCGTGCTTGCGCACGCCGCCAGCTTTCTCAAAGGTAAACCCCTACTGACAACGCGTCACCGGATAGAGCTTGAACCAGCGTTCACTCCTGTGTTACCTCACTCTACTTCCAGCTTCCTCCGTTTCGCCGAGGCCGTCGCAATAATCTGGATGAAGCCGGACCTGTGTGTACAAAACCAATGATTTGTCAGCTTACGACTGCCATGAACATAGGGGTGAACTTCCATCATTCATTTTGCACCTCATGCGCATTTGGGCACACCCATAGTTAGGTATATTAGTTCCATACGGGTTATGGTTAATGGTACTGAGGAGACAATAGGAAATGCAACTGCATCCACCAGCTTTCGTTTTCTTACCATACACTCACACATCGTGAGTATTCTCATTCAGCTCTATGAATTGTAATTCACACAGCACCTCATGTCTATTAGTGGTCATGTACATTGTGGGACAATTGAGGGGCTGAATGAATAGGGTTGTAATGAAATTTCTTATAGAACAAGTACACAAAGGAAGCAGTTGATGCGCTCATCACCCCATTGTCAAAGAGTGGAAAAGAAACTAACTGAAGAACTATTACGACAGCGGAGCAGACTGAAGTTGAAACGCGCGCACACATGGGCGCACACACTAGAAGGTTAACATAGTGCATACGCACCGATATTGAAGTTCCAAATGGTTAATGCATCGAGAGAGCGATACAGATTTCAGTCGGTATTGTGCGATTCAACCGGCGTCATCACATCGTAGCATGCTCTGAGACAGTTCTCATACTTCAACGAGGCGACTTCACACTTTTCGTTATAGGTCCCTCCGGAGCACAGATCAAACATGTCCCAAAGCAACGGGCGACAATTCCGGTGACACTCCATAAGTCTGCTGGCATTTGCGAATTCCAGTGATGCAAGTAGAGTCATGAGTACCTAGATGAGGAAGGAAGAATGGATGTATTGATGTGCGCTTTTGGAATGGGATTGGTTTTATATTTATATAAGGCATTGACCTAGTGAAGTAAAGCGCATGGATTGTAGAACAACGGAAATGGAGCAATCACTCATTGTTCTGGATGGAGCTGGTGAATGTTATTATGATACTGAACTGAGGCAACAATAGGTTGGATAACACAAGCATGCTACTTTTTGTGGAAACGACCGATGGAACTCTCGTACCTGTAGTGTGAACGGATTCAGGGAATGCGAATGTCACGTCTTTCTGATGTCTAACTGAACCTCCACCCTAAATTTGCAATCAAAGAACGAAAGCAGCCCAACTAAAGTAATCTATATCCCTCTGCACTACTGATGAACACACTTCCGCAACTTCAAATGAGTGATAACTCATCGCCAGCAATTTCCGTCCTTATTGAAATCAGGTTAATGCCGGTTGCGTGGCAGCAAGTGTGTTTAAGGATAAAGATACCACCCACACGAACATTGGCCAGAGATGAGCAAGGACCGGTGGCATTCCGACTCAAGACGCAAACCCACTGTGTGGAAGTGAACGTGTCGTGACTACGTGCTGCAATCTATTCACACAACGAGTGCATCAGACGGACCTACCAATCTAACCTCGTCAGCTTTGCTGTACCTCGCTTTTACTCTGACACACCCCATATTCGACACGCGCCGCCGGCATCTAGATTGCGCTGTATGTAGCGTCAAGTGAACTACTGCAGACAACTGCGTGCGGTACAACAAGGTTTCGCGACGTAGTTGACCATGGATAATGATCCGATATTGCAGTCATACGCATTATAATTATAAACAAAGTTGTATTTCACGTGAATGGAAAATCTCAGTGATATAGCCGTGCATTTGTTTAACATTTGCGATCAGGTAAATGAGATGATTGTAGAAGTCGAAGATGTTATACTATCTGGTTCACAAATTCCGAGGTGATGCGAAGGTTGAGATCAATGCACCGACGTAAATAGTAATTCCTTTCGGGACGCGTCTTCTCTGCCAAATATCTGTGATTTTCTTCTTGAGAATTTCATTGCCTAACTGACACTAGATTTACTCAGTGAGGATTGGTTTTCACTTTTGTTTTTCAGATGCGGTTGCGTCTGTTTTCGTGCAAATGTGTCGACTAGTTTGACATGAGCCATAATCAAAAATGCATTTCTGCCTTTTATTAGTACGCATTTGTTGTCTATGTAGAGATGTTAGCGCTGGCAAATATGCGTGAAAAACCGCTGCTTACTCGTTTCGGTGTACCTTAACGCAGACCCATTAAGTCTCTTTGCTTTCAACCGCCTAGTTATGAATCAAACAAGTTTGCAATGGGTTTCGGACGTCAAGGTATTCTATCGCATCCACAATATCTTGTGTAATAGGCGCTCTTTCCTCTTTCTCATGACCAGGAGAATTAAGATGAACGCCATTTCTTTGTCAATTATTACGAGTGGTACGTCAGATCCCGTCGTGTATGAAACTGAACATATCCGTTTTTTGAACATTCCTGTGGCAGAGCGACAGAAGAGATGAGCCGAGAAATCAGTGATAACGTGGAACCCGGTAGGCTATGGAAGGGCCAATGTGAGGGCAAAGTACAAGGCAGCTGAACCATCTAACCTCTTGTCCTTTGGATCCCAGTTTTCAACTGGAAGTCTAATTGGCCGAGATGCTATGCCCTGTGTTTTTCACGTGAGCAACACTGTGCTTCTCACTACTGTTTCGACTGCTGAAAACATCAGCTGAGTGCATGGAAGTTCGAACGGAGCAAACAGTCAACGGTTCCTTTTCCAGACGTTTTCAAACTTCCACTGAGGTCGCATTCGCGTGAATGTCATCTAGAGGATAATTGCAATCACGTGCTGTCTTATACCTTGATTGCATAAGCTGGAAACTGATATTTGATGGTGATAAGTCTACATTCTCAAGCTTAGTGTTAACTATAAATTAGTACAGAACTCACCAACATATTGTTGAAATAAGCCATTGTTGCACTGGAAATCTCACTCCACCTGCCACAGTGGAATCGGACAATATACCGATAACGGTTTTATTCAAAACACTGAGGTAAAACCGACGAATGAAACGGCTTTCTCGTGATGTATTGACGCAAGAATTTAACAGTTCACAATGAAACCATTCAGTAAGAACTGGGTCATTGAGGGACAATGCACCTCAAAATTGGCAAGTGGCAACGTGTCTGAATGAGGTGACAGTGGTTTAGTGCGAAGGAATTCCTCAAAGTCAGCAGCTGCACTTGTACATCACACACAAATGCACTGCACACCACGGCGATTTGGAAACAGCTGTGCCACTCTCCATGCACACCTCGGCACTGACCAGTGTGTCACAGTAGTACGCGTCAGTTTGGAGATATCGAAACTGCAGGCGTACCTGCCACCGTGTTGATGGAGCGCCTTGTGAACGCCGCTCCCAACCAGGGACTATGAGTGTTTCGTTTCCTATCATTTAAATTCCTACCCATGCAAGCCATTTTCAGCACAAAAACGCAGGATTAAAGCCTAGTGGTACAGTGTGGATACTGATGGTAGGTGGTAACTTGTGTGCATAAAGTCGACGCGAGAACACTGAACAGGAATCCATCAACTTACCCCGATGACATGGCCAGAGAGTTGGCGTAAGCTTATACCCAGCCCGAACAAGTGCTGCGTCTTTTCGCACGACGGAGAAACGGATTGGCTCGGGCAAGCCATTCAAACAGTATTGTCTTGATGAATAACCTCGGTGGGTGATGGCGACTCGCCAACTGGGCTGGCGGCTTTTTAACAAACTAGATGTTTCAGCAACGAACACTTCGTTATCAGGCTATGCCAACAACCCAGACATCCTCATACACATAAGGACCTAAAAGTATCCTTGCTCATTACCAAGCGTGTCGTACGCCACCCAGACTAGCTAACGGGGATTGTACAGGTCGGCTGAACAACCTAAATTTAGCGTGGTTTATAGCATGAACGACGCTCGGTGTGGTGAGTGGCGAACTAGGTATCAGTTGGAGATTTTCGGATTACGGTGCTACATTCCACTTTCGCTTCAAAATTACTCTGTTATTGGTAATTTTTCTGTGTGAACTGTGCACCAATATCTTTCTCTTGGTGTATTTTTCAAGCTGTGCAAATGTTGTGGATGTTCTCTGGCCAATTTCGACCTTCTTATTGATTGGCCCAACTGCCTTCTCTGTCCGACATCTTGGATTTGCTCTACGATAAGCTGCCATCATTACCACCATACCGGTGACCCGGAACGATTATTTTATGCTAAGCAAACATTGCTAAGTTAGTAAAATTAGATTTCACATGTAAAATTGCGTTGACCGGCACCATCCGAAATGCCTCAACGTCTGTAGAACCGACATAAACGAATACTATACGCCGGATCCACTTCGATTCTGCCCGAAGTACATGACCGTTACACAAGTAAAATGCATCCTAACCTAACACAAAACTACGACAGTCTAGTCGCCGAAGCTGAAGATCGTTTGAATGCAAAATATTGCTTCGATTGAGGCGACAATAGCGCATCATGAACCCCATCCGACTCTCTGAATTACTGCCTCGAAACCAAGGAAAACTGGCTAGGCATTCACACGGTCACGCAGTACTAAAAACCTTGGGAACCACGAACCAACTTGTCGTGGCGACCGATGGAACCATGCCTATTCCCACCGTCCATATCCTCTAAAGCAATATATCGGCTGATGTAACATCGGTCATACCTACCTTTCCGATTGACCAACGAAACCCGAGGTGCTCTGAAGATCCATCTACCTATGCAACCGTTGCTGCTCAGTATAATCGAAGAGCGACCCCTCTAAGCTCACCCAGTACAGACGGAAAAATACAAAACGGGTTAAGGACCAGGTGCAACCTAGAAAGCTATCACTAAATCCCTCGATAACCGTGCTTCCCACATCGCTCAAGACCAGGAGGAATTACAGTGTCTTGATATTTATTTCCACCAACGTTCCAGAGTCAACGTTAAACTCCTTAGGGGGTAAACTGCTGGATGAGTTACAGCAATGGAATTTCCTTGGTGATAACATCAGATTTAATGCTAGTCCGACTAATATAATGTGCATGACTAGTCATCTAGCAAATCGTTATATGGAGTTCCGTCTAATGCGAGAAACATTGAACTCAACAGATGATGTCGAAACGGTGCTTTTCTTGTTATACCGTATGTGGACTGAAATCAGTGGAATACGCATATTTCCGGATATTCCATAGAGCGCACGGCAGTCTGACAGAAACAATGCAAACGACCACTATACGGAGGGTATCAAAAGCATTATTTTCGTTCATGGCTTGCCCGGAGTGCTGACAACCAGGAACGAAGAAGCCCACGCTCATGACCTGGAAAAATGGCGTTACATCCGTGTTGCATTCTGTGCGGGCGAAGTCATACCTCAATGGATGACACGGTTACTCGCGGCGCCAAACTACAGAGGCAATGGCCTGAGGATATTGCAATCAACGGTGAAGTCAGAACAGATGACCGTGAAGTTAATCTGTAGCAGGCAGTTACTACGCAACACACTTAGTTTAGAAGTATAACTGAAGTCAGCGGTTAGAGAAATGGAGCCACTCGCTGTTCACATGGAAACAACACCACCCACGACACAACATAACCACAACCGCGATTTAGAAACCTGTGCACTGAAACCCGTAGCTATCGAGAATGCTGCCGGTGGACGGCATACCACAGGTGCAAGTGAGACCAAAAACAGATTGCATTCGTATGGAGGATTTGCAATTCATCCAAATAACGATTAGGTGCCGACCGCTCATCGGTCGACACAAGGCCACATCATTCATGTGCACCTAGTCAGCAGTATTTGACGTCGGAGGCGAGGAACTTTCCAACGCTCAAGATATGCTGAGACAACTTTCCGAAATTCGGCTGCGTCAAGGATGAAAAGCCGGCGACGTCCTCGCTATAACGGATATATGGTTACGCCCTGACATAATTGACATGGAGATCGCACTGTTAGCCACGCCTATTGTTCGGCACGGCCGACCCAGCAAATTTGGCTCTACTTCCGCAAAGTCCTTCAATGTGCGCTCATAGAGGATCCGATAGACACGGTACAAGATTCCCTCTGGTGCCGTCTACGTTTAAAATACGAGGGTACTTGCTTAGTGGTTGTCATTTACCGTTTTCCTTCCTCCACGCCCGAAACGGACTTCTAACTGGCATCCGCATTGAGGAGTGGGATACACACATCTTACAGCCACATCCCCATTACTGGCGATTTCAACATCCACACTCTAGAACCCCAAGCAGCTCGCAGAGAACAGTTTAGGGACGGTGTACAAGAACTTCTCCTCAGTTACCCGTTGTATGGGCACATCAACCCTCCCACCCGATTTCGCGAACAAGATAAGCTTTCGATACTGGATCGGGTAGTCAACAAAGAAAGAACTAATGATTGAGAGGGAGATGGTCAACGTCCCCCTTGTTCGCAGCGACCATGCAGTACTACTACTCGAATACATTTGCTACGCAGGATATCCCTTGGAAATTTCGGATGCAACAAAAACCATTATACGCTACGACACATTAGGTTGAGTAGGTGAGACATCCAACTAGAGCTTTCTGGTAGAGGAGGCATCATCTAGTGCATGGAAACATTTCGTCATGCAGTTTAACTCTCTGGTTGCCAAAACCTCAGCGACTAACATCTTCAGTCCGAGAAATGTTGTCTCGCTTCTGCAACGCAGGAGACGCAAGTGTTTGGCGGTGCGAAACTCAGCCTGGCATATCTACTAACTCACTCGGAGCACCCAGACCTAGAAGGCCCATGCGACCCAACGTATTCAGTTTGTTCGCGAGGATAGAATGGCATACCAGCGGAAGTTGGCATTGCGTAGGGCTTTAAATCACAAGGTTCTGTAACAACACGTCAACAGTCTACGTAATGTAATCCTGGAATTCCTCCTCTACAAATGGCGGAGGGACCGACACGGACACCGAAGAAGACGGTGAATAACCTGCGCTTACCACATACCGTAACATATTCGTGCGATGACTAGCCACATAGCTCTATGCTGATGGTTGTTTTACCCCCAAACTTACTCACATATCCCTCGCAGCAGAAGCTTTATTAAAAATACTGTTGAGTATGCACAAGCACAGCTCTCCTGAAGCTGATAATATACACACGAAATTGCTAGCGGCGTTTGGAGAGCATTTGGTGAGCATTTGACTCGATTCTTCCAACATTGTTTTAACGAAATGTACGTGACCGGCATGTGGAAACACGGGATGATTACCCCTACTCACAAGGGAGATAGTCGTTCCAGTCCAGCCAAGTATCGTCTCATAATCTTATTACCTGTTCTTGCAAAGGTCACGGATGCTATTATTGCTGAGGTGCTAACGACCAACTTGGAAATAATTAAATACCAACACCGGAACGAAATCGACTGTGCGCTACAAATCTCCTACTAGCACGATCCAGCTGGACTGAAGCAGTCGATTCTCTCACAGGAGTTGATGTGGTCTTTCTCGATTTCTCCAAAACGTTCCACTGGTTAGACCACGAGATTTTGCTCTTCAGACTCCAGAACTTTCGTGCTGGTGATCCTCACCTAGGATGGATCAGAAGCTTTCTTCTACACCAGCGCGTGGAAGTACAAGTGCATAAATCGCTGTCAGATCCGATCCGGGTTGAATGCTGAGTACCACTGGGATCGGTACTAGGACCGCAATTACTTTGACCTGTATTAATGATATCACACACCCCATGAACTGCCTTCTGTGTGCCCATGACATCAAGGTGTGAAGCGCGATCAGAACACCAGTAATCTCACAGTAATTCACGCTGATCTAGATAAGGTATACGCGTGGTCAATCCCGAATCTACTTCGATTCAATGTGGACAAATGTAGAGTGCTGCATCTACGGCACAAGTAGGTGTACTCCTACAAATTTGGCAACCAGAAAATTAAACCTCCTCTGACTAGAAATATCTAGGTGTTTTGTTCCAGTTC